AAAATTTATAATTTACTGTATTTTATAAAATTATTTTTTTAAACAGAAAAAAATAGGTAACATTTTATTGAGAAAAAAACCCAGATTTTACATCTATAAGTAAGATTTAATATGCTGAATCATTATTAATGGTATAGGCCTATACCTATTATATATTTCTATAAATTAATCACCAAATATCTCATTAATCACACTATCGTAAATCTGTCTCTTATACACATCTGTCCTCTGGTCTTCTTCAGCTTACAAAACTAAAACTAAATGATTATTCACCGCTTTGATCACAGCTTAGTCTAGAGTAATTAAGTGGAAGTTACATAAGCCATAGAAAAAAGCTATGTGATAATTAGCCCTTAACTCAAAGCCTATTACAATAATATTGTTTATTTGTATATTAAATAGATCTCTTGTATCAGCCACATTTTGTCATCAGCCACAACTGTACCTACAGCAAGTATGCACTAATAAGTGTACCTAGCTGTTGTACAAGTTATTCTGCCTTAATTAAGAGGCACATCAAGGGGGGGGGGGGCATGCTCACAACCTCTAGGGTGAGGGGTTTTTAAAACAAAATCTCCTGTCTGCAAAAATTGGTCTAACTTGGCATCTATGTTAAGGGCCGTGATATATGCTAGACAAGCCCAGGCCAGCTATTGTATATGGCGGAGGCTATTGGCACTGCTGCAGTGCGAAAAAAAGCTGCTGTTTTCTATCGGCACTGCCGTAGTGCCAAAACGCACCTGTTTTTTATCTGCACTGCCACACAGTGCCAAAAAAAGCTGTTATTTTTCTATCGGCATTGCTGCAGTGCGACAAAAGCTCAGATTTTCTATCGGCAATGCCGCAGTCCCGAAAAACTGCAGTTTTCTATTGGCACTGCCACTCGAAAAGCTGTTGTTTAATTAATCAAATGGATGTTTTTATCGATAGAATATGGTATCAATAATTGGTTAGGTCTAGCCTAGCCTATATTATCAAAATTATATTATATATATTTTACAATTAATTATAATTATTTCTAGTTTATCAAATTATTAAACAGTGTTCGAATAATACTATAATAATGAATATAATAATACTTTAATTGACCTTTTTATGATACTTTGATTAATGAGATGAATCGATCAGAATATATTAATTCAACTTGTGTCTATGCAAAACCTGTTTTTTAAATAAAGATGTTATCTGTTTTTAAAGTTCATTTTCTGTGATAATTTTATCAACATATTCATGTTTTCAATGTTACTATGATTGATAAATAATAATAATAATAAAAATAATAATAATAATAATAAAGGTGCTCGAATAATGCTTTAATAAAGAATTAATAATACTTCAATAATACTTCAAAACTCCTACTTACGATAGTGTGATTAATGAGATATTTGTTGATTAATTTATAGAAATATATAATTTATCAAATATATATAATAGGTTTTTTTTCAATAAAATGTTACCTATTTTATTGTTTCAAAAAATAATCTTATAAACTATAAGTTTCATTGTAAATTTTATAATAATTTAATCCACATAATTTATGTTTTCAGTTATTTAAGCATTTTTAAAACAATTCAGTGGGCCTACGCTGGATGTTAATGTAAAACAAAACAAAAGCAAATGCTAATTTACTATCGCGAGATTACCACATATTTTTGGTAGGCAGAGCTCAGGATGGTTCACACGAGGTGATGAATGTTCGTCGAAATGCTGTACAAATAAACTGCAATTATGTAAATAATTTTCATGCGAACTTACGAATATCTTAATTAATATTATCTTTAATTAAAATCTTAAATTAGTTAATTACTAATTAATTAATAGATTGATATAAACATAGTGACCTATAACTACAATTTATTAATATATTTTAATTAATAAATACAAGAATTCTGCAACGATATTTTTTCAGGTCAGAAATTCACATCAAAAAGTAATTTTTCAATTGCAATATTCATATTTTTTTCGGTTCATTGAAATAGTGACGAAAAAAATATTTGCGTCCAATGGGACTCGAACCCAAGACTCGAAATGTCCTGGGTTTGAGTCTTTTCTTCATTCTGATCAGATTTATGTTTTACGTTTACGTAATACATAAATTGTATTATTATTTACCTTAAATTGTATTATTATTTACCTTATGAGACATGTTGTTTATCCTATATGCCTATATATATATATACTGTCTCTTATACACATCTAGATGTGTATAAGAGACAGGTTGTTCAAAGAGACATAGTAAATCTAGTTATCATTGTTTTCCTTTTCTTAATAATTATTGACCAGCCCCAATTTGACTTCCGCGAATGCAACTTAACATCTGCAGGCGAACGCCTTCTCCAAAAGCCACATGCGCACACATCCAGACAGTGCATAAACCCGCCAAACAATATCGAGCCACAAACCGGGCACCAGTGGCCACTTCTAACACTTTTTATTTATTTTTTTATATCTATTTTTATTATTGTTTATTGAATCTCTTAATATAATAACCTGGTTCCACATGACAGGTTACCGTACTCGCGCAAATAAGCGCTCAGGCGCTTAAAATATTTTTCCCCTTATTGAGGGCCGCTTATTCAAACGGGATGCTTATTATTTTAAACAGAGCGCTTATGAAAACAGAGGGGGCGCTTCTTTATAGTGCACACGAGCCATTGTATACACTGGGCCTACGGTTTATAGTCCTTATCCGAGAAGACTTGTTCCTGTCTCTTATACACATC